CTAAAACCGCATCAACTTCCCACATGTAAACACCATCGGTTGAGGCAGCAGGGATATTACTATTCAGAAATGAGAAGTTTCAGCTTATCAAACATTGGTAGAAAGCTATACAGTCCAGCTTCTCAAACGTTGCCTGCAGATTATTACATTTCCTGTATACAAAAAGAACTAGGCATGCTTGATAACGAAGTTAACCTCAACTAAATGTATACACTTTGCAATTTTTCCAAAGAAGAAATCTTGACTAATCATGCTCCGGTACTACAATCATTGATATATTAATGATAAGAATACGGACCTCTCTTGTTTCTATTGAATTCCTAAACACAAGAGTTTTATTGCTGGCTCGTCTACCAAACATTTCTCAAAACCACTAAACTCATCGTACTATCAAATCTAAGTTACAATCATTGTGATACTGTTTTGCAAAAGAAGTGAAAATAATAGTATAAGGATTGTAAAGAACTCTGAGAGGTTTTTTACCAATCTTCAACACCTTCTTCTTAAAAGAATTCTTCTATAATAACATTTGATTTTCCCTCTCTATACTCCACCATATTCCATTTTAAACTGAAAGAACGCCTTCATTCTTTTGTTATGAGAACATTCACTTCCCTGAAGCGTTTTTCGTTGAAAATAGTACAAATAAAAGGAGAAATATACAGAGGACGAAATCATAAAAGTGATCGGGTTTCTGGTTGACTTCATCGTCGTCGATATTTTCTACAGAATTGTTCAATAGATATCTACAACTTCTCAACATTTTCACTTTAACGGACTGTTTTGTACGCGCTTTAATAGGTTTTTGCTGATTCAGCGGGATTTTTCAGCTTCGATATTTGTGTTCTTGGACTGTTTGTCTTGGACTGAGTTAGTATCATTTGATGATTTCCTTGACTGCAATGACGTTTTGCTCATCATTTTTGTCTAAATAAAACAATTTTCAACTTCTGAAGTTATTTTTGTATCATTATTCTGGTAATCTACATTTATGCATGACATACAATTCATTATATTAACATTTGTGATGGAAATAATGTTTTGTCAGTTGAAAGGACATATTGTCCAGTTTTTTGGTGTAATTCACCCTCGGGCACATTTACCATTGTAAAAGACACGCAAGTGAATGGCTTTTTCAAATACAAATTTAGAATTAGTCACAGTAGAGTCAAACAAATAGCAAATATAACTATATCATATAGATGCTTTGTCCTTCTAGGACTCGTAAGTGATGTCAAACGCCTAAATCATTTCTATCGGAGTTCTTATGAGATGCAAATTGATGAAGAATATCCGAAAACTACATGATCGTCACCATGATCTCATATAGAAAAGTTCCATGTCCCTGTGAATTAGAAAATTACATGCAAAGTGGCACGTATAGTGGTTTTTGCGTTACTTTTTTTTTTGTTCCGATCAAGATTAACATGACAGGTATAGTCTATCAATCAAAGAATGCCTACTTATCCAGAACACTGGTCCTATCATCATTGTACCTTTTAATCCGTGTTAATCATTCTTTTGTCTATGTTTTGGCATCGTGTCATCAATTTTGAGTTTCGATGGCATATGTGTTATGCAATGAGATTTTCAGGCTGTCTAATATAGATGATTAATTAATACTGTGTTGATACGGCAGACATGGTATTGTAGTTGATGTCTCTTCGAACGTACAACAAAAATCAAACAGACTCCAGTCAACTCCCTTGGTGAAATGTCAGGTAAAGTAATACTTCTACATGCATAGGAACATTATATCCATAACGTAAAAATATCTTAATTGAGTTGGGTTACATAGAATATTCATAGGTGGTAGACATTTCATGAACTGGTAAAACGCAACTGGGTGAAGGCTATGTAATTCTGATTAATAAACACGTTATTTTGACGTACTGTAATAACGGATGTATTTCAACTTAATCCTATCTCCAAAACTTCAGGATCGGCATTATCATGCCGTCGAAAAAGCACAGAGGAATTTTTATTTTGCGAGGATGGACAGTCCTCACATGTACACGGGCCGCCGTTTAAAGTCCCGTCCACCCGCATACTAATAATTATTGTTTTTGGACACATCTTGAATCCTTTCCAAACATTCGACGGAAGTACATGGATATCTAACTAATGTCCATCGCTTTCTGATAACTCATTCCACTCGGACTGCAAACATCTATTAATTTACAATCCTGTGTTATCATTGATCGCTGTTTTTATTATTTTATTGTTTTAGTTATTTATCCGGAGTTGCATTTGTTTTTCAGGTTATATGTTGTTTTATTTTAATATGAATGTTAGTTTTTAGCTTATTGTATCTCTCTATATTCTATGTTAGATACACAGGCATGTTCGTCTATACCATATTACATCCGATCGCCTTACTTTCGTTTAAAGGAGACATTTCCAGTTCTGCGTATAGACGTACTGCAAACACGGACTCGTACTATACATTTTACTGGGGGTCGTACCAGAAAAGAAACAGACATAAATCTGCATCTTTTTCAACTTTGTCGATCGATCAGCTGAATCGATTGTTGGACAAATGTGTTCTTCAAAGCTTTATTTAATAGAACAATACGTTGGCTCAGATGATTATTCGATATATTAAGGTGTAAGGACACTCGACCCTTCGTAACACACAAGTTTTAGTTACTGTTCTGTGGTAATGTCACTTCCGACTCCTGTATCGGGCATTTGACCCTGGAATGTGCATCTCTTACAGTCACTGGCTCTTAAACATCTCACACTACCTGTATACATAGATGGCTAAGAGTAGATATCATGTTAAAAAATGTTTCAGCTACGACAAATTGCAATAATTATCATCTGGAAACAAGATTTGGCTCATTCGTGAATGACGACATAAACCCCGTAACAGCTTCATGTGTAGACTTTGAAACTTTGGGAAAATAATTCTTTCTATAATTTAGAACAACCTATACATGTATGTCAACACATATGGATAACATTCCCATAACATCGCCTTTAACATATGAGTTAAATCATATGAGTGCTTATTATATTAAGGAGAGATAGAAATTACCAGGCTACATTACAATGTACTTTAACATTCACGGCGACTTACGGAGGGGTGGAAGTGTGGTACTATTTTGAAGAGATTTATTCCCAAGGACGGGAAGGGATTTGGAAACTCCATTGCTATGGTTCATGGTTTCTGAAACTGAACAGTCCATCCTCATATGTAATACGGTTTAACGAGATCATTAATGTCTAGAAAGTTTGTAACAAAGAAACATCGTAAACGATTGGATTTTTATAATTGAAAACGTATACGAAAACGGTTATCTATAAACTTGAGAATTTTGATTTTGAATTCCACTGAAAACCATAGATAGCAGAATGTGTTTAATAATCTAGTCCAGACAAAGAGAACATTATACATTGTTGAAATAATTGCATTCCTATAATTTCAAGGCTCAATATACCCATAATCCTGTACATCATTAACGATGAAAAATTTTATGAAAATCACTGATTTTCTAATCCAGCCTATCCCTTCACACGTTTATCATTCGACAAAATTGTATTCATTCTGCATTTGAAATTTTACTTTATTCGTATGATATTGAATCTGATCTCATAAAAACAAAACAAAAATAATAATAATATTCTACTTTGGTAAGGTAAATGCGAGAAAAGCAAACCGGAAGTGGCCTATATTGGCCATTGGTTTACAGATTCTGGTCTCAAACCAGACCCAGAGAAGATACGTGCCATAGTAAAAATGGACGGTCCAACAAATGTAAAGGAGTTACAAACTTTCATTGGTTTTATCCAGTATCTTGGCAAGTTCATGCCAAAAATGTCTGAAGTCAGTAGTCCACTCAGAGTGCTTCTTGAGAAAGACACTACATGGTTCTGGGAAAAGGGGCAAGAAGACAGCCTTACTAAGCTGAAGGATATGACCACTCGTACACCAGTTCTTCAGTATTTTGTCCCACTGAAACCAAGTACACTTTCTGTGGATGCTAGTTTGAAAGGATTAGGGGCTGTCTTGATCCAACGGGAAAAACCTGTAGCATATGCGTCGTGAGCCCTGACAGAGACACAACAACGCTATTCACAGATCGAGAAGGAAACACTAGCAATCTTATATGGCTGTGGAAAGGTCCACGACTATGTATATGGAAAACAGGCGAAAGTGGAGTCTTACCACAAACCCCTCCAAAGTATCTTTAAAAAACCACTACTTAGCGCTCCCCCAAGACTTCAGAGACTGGTTTTAGCTCTACAGAGATACGACATAGAAGTGTGCTATAAGCCAAGAAAAGAAATAATCCTAGGAAACCATCTTAGCCGTTCATTCCTGAAGGAAACTACAGAACAACTTGTGCCCGAGCTACAAGTTAATGAGGCACACTTGACAGCATATCTACCTGTCACACCACAGCTGTATAAACGATTTTAACAGGAAACGTCAAACGATCAGGAACCTCAGGATCTAATGGATACAATTCTAGAAGGTTGGCCTGATGACAGACGTGACGTGTCACCGACAATGAGACCTTATTGGAACATTAGGGATGAGATATCGTGTGTTGATGGTATACTCTTCAAGTCTCACAAAGTTATCGTTCCATGAGCCTTAAGGAAAGAGATGCTAGAGAAAATCCACGCTGCACATCTAGGTAAAGTGAAGTGCAAGGATCGCGCTCGCGAGATACTTTTCTGGAATGTCGAAAGATATAGAAAGCTATGTCAGTGAATGCCAGATCTGTGCTAAGCATCAAAATGCTAATACAAAGGGGCCAATGGTTGCAGCTGAATTGCCCCCAAGGCCATGGTAAAAAATTGGAATGGACTTATTTGAGTTCAAAGGCTCAAATTATCTTCCTACTGTGGACTATTTATAAAAATGGCCCGAAGTACAAAAGCTAGAGTCGATCACAACGCAATCTGTCATTGTACATGTAAAGAGCGTGATTGCCAAATATGGTATTCCTGACGAAGTACTGAGTGATAATGGACCGCAATCTGGAAGCATGGAATTCAGAGAGTTCGCAAGAGAATACGGACTTGAACATACCACGTCAAGCCCATACAATGCTCAAGCTAACGGCCAAGTTGAGCGTATGGTCCAAACAGTTAAAAGACTACTGATAAAGGCTAAAGACCCATATCTAGCTTTGCTGGAGTACAGGAATTCGAAAATCGATGGTGTCGAGATGTCACCAGCACAGATGTTCTTCGGACGTCGTCTTAAGTCACCATTGCTTACTACAACACCACTTCTGATGTCAAATCGGAACAATGTGTGTACATATGCTGGTCTGAAATTACGTCGAGCCAGACAGCAGGAAAACTTCAACAAACATGCTCAACAAACACCACTCAAACAACTTGATCCAGGAGATCGCGTTATGGTGAACAAGCCTAAGAAAGGAACCTGGGAACCGGGGACCGTGGTTCGACGCCATGATACCCCACGTTCATACGTTGTTGACAGCAAAGGAAGACGGTATCGAGGGAACAGATGGTTTCTTAAACCCGTGCCAACTTATCGGATAACCCTTCGTGTGACAGTTATGTGAAACCGGAAGACAGTGTTGACAATAAACCGGAAATGGTTGAACCAAAACCACTTGACAATCCATAAGATGTGTCAAAACCTACTCCGATGCCCTCAAAATCAACTTCCCCAGAAAGGTCACCAGTCAAGTGCACTCGTAGTGGTCGCGTCGTAAACCTTCCTGAACGATATCGTGTGTAAATAAGGAACTAGACGGTGTATAAATGTTTATCAATTTTTTAACATGACTTTAAATGTGTTATAGTGTTCGTGAAACAAAATAAGCAACACTGTAGGAGTGAAAAATTCCTCAGAAATATTTCATTTTATTTGAACAATTTCTTTACAATCCCTCTGTTTGAGTAGAGTGATAACATATATACATACACAAATGACACTGCAATTTAATTATCCGACACTTATCTGAAGTGTTTAACTGTTAAGCCACATACTCTTTCATTGTATTATTATGAACTTGAGTGAATTTTAAATACTAGTTTCAGTTATGGTAATAATTTCTAGTCAGTTTCATATATTGTTTTCTTTTATAAGGAGAAGGATGTAGTGTTTTCGGTTGTTGTCGCTATTCCTATATATTGCCATCCTATAGTATTTAGTAACACTGTTGGAACTCTTCTGTATGGAAGGTCAATAAAGTTGGAGTTGAACATGTAACATGGCGTCCATCGTCCATACATCACAACTGAAAACATGGAACACGACATATACTCCATTTGCACTTACAAATACATATGAGAAATCAGATGAAGATTCGCATACAAACCTCGATAGGTTGGTTGCGTATTTTGATTCCCATTAGAAACCCAATATACAGTATAATGTACGTGTAGGTAAGGATAAGCGAGTTGTGTACTATACAATAACGTCACCCACAACTGTGACATACCACTGCCGTTCACTATCGTGTCTTGCATCAGATGTTTATATAAATACATGCTGGTATGTAGTTTCATGAAGGTGTACTATTGTTGAAAATGATACATGAAGCGTCTATTTGTGGGAATAATTTTCACATTGCACAGGCCGTCAAACAGGACTGCTTGCAACCTTTTCTTCCTTGTGTGAAAACAAAAACATTGAAAATCCCCTATAACTTCTTAATCAAGAACTAAGATAATACGTTGTTAGGAGCATCATGCAGAGGTCTCTTCCTTTACCATTTGAGGAGTAGAATTCGTGGATCATTGTTCATACCATTCATTTCGGTATATGTAATGGAAAAATTATGTTTATATATAAAGACGGTTGAGGGGGACTGGTAGAGTTTCGGACCGCGGCATAGTCTGGTATGAAGCGTGAACTATAACTCGTCATTCTGAGAAAGCTTCCGAGTTCCTTCACAGTCGGAGGAGGTTTCGCACTTTTAACTTCTGTGACATTTGTACATTCCTCGAGAGTCCACGAGATGGACATTGTTGGTGGACGTTTGTGTCCCAGACATTTTCCATGCTTTTACGGTTTAAATTCATTCCGATAGTGGCGCCTGTCAGAATATGCAATGTATTTGACGTTCTAAAAAGATCAGATCTATGAACATTATGAAATGTATTGAATTTTAAGTCTCCCTTGGTAGATATTGACTGTTGTCTTCACCGTCGAGTTTCCTCATTCGTGTCTTAGATTTCAAAATGTAGGCTGTTAGCATCACTGACGAATCCAAGAGCAAAACAGCTGTAAGATATAGTTTAAATTTTTACACTGCTTTACCTAATTCTAAGTTTGTATTGAATTATGTGACTCACTTGTGAAATAATGTAACATGTCGCCTGCTGTACATGGCATTTATATTCAATGTTGATGACATTTTTACACTTTGAAAGAACAGAATTATTACATGAAAACGTCATTGCATTATGACAGTGCTTGTCTTAACTAGTACGTGAGGTGTATGGAGAGTGAATAATGCACGGGTATTTACATATTTGGATGTTGCACTAGTATTTACATACTTGGATGTTGCACTAGTATTTACATACTTGGATGTTGCACTAGTATTTACATACTTGGATGTTGCACGGGTATTTACATACTCACGTGGCCCTGCACATATGTGAAGTAAACCATGCTCCTCTCTAACTCATCATTTTCCGATATGACCAGCGAGAAATGCAGGTGGAACAACACATCTCTCCGGGTCTCTGGATTTCTGGTCTCTGACCAATCACTGAATATGAGAGTGTCGTATGTCGACTAAGGGGTTTTACAATAGTTATGAGAGTAGATAATAATCCAGTCTGTACCTTGATAGATATAATTATATATACACATGTGTTCAGCCTAAAATATACAGAAAACATGCTTACCTATAACTAATTTTATAATCAGTAGACCCGCGGTTATCCGAAAGCCGATAGTGCGGAAAAATCCCAATCCAGAGGGAAATGTTGTGGAACGGATTTCCGTAACATTTATCGTACTCACCAGCCTGGAAACCATTCTCATGCTCAAGTATCGATTTTGTGTTCAAGCAGCCTTTTTTATGATTTGCCTACATCATATAAAATAATACAAATGTCAAATATAAACATTGAATATAACTTTGACTTAAAGTCCTTCAAACTCTTCTTTAAAATCTTTGGCAAATCAGCCTTATTTATTAATTTTTAACTTAAACAAGACATACGGCTTGAGCACACAATTCATGCTTGAGCCTGAGAACGGTTTCATGAATACGAGCCCCGAATTCTGATTCCTTAATACGTTTTGGGAACGGACTTGACTTTTTATAGTGATATTCCCAGTAGTGTAGTGTGTAATCATGACCGTTGCGGACCTCTATGCAGGCCAACGCGGATGAAATCTGACGACAATATCAAACAGAAAATCTTAGTTTGTTATTGCTTCAAAAGTTTGATAATTAATTCTTAATTGTCCAATACTTATAGATAGCACGATCTAGATATAAAGGGAGAGAAGCATTGATGATCCGTATTGACATTTCTTATGAATTTGAACGTGTATAATAAAGATATGACGTAACTAAAACTTGATATGAAATTATTCGACACTGACATTCAAATTGTTGGATTCATTTGATCAAAAAGGTAACTCACTTGGCCATATTTCAATATAAGCTAGAAAGTTAAACTTCGGAGAAATCGACATCAGTGTTAATGAAAGTAAATAGAAATCGATATCTTTTGTTTCTGTACACACGTCCATGGCAACGGCCGTACACAAGTAGCTAGTGTAAAAGGAGCCGTCACTGTGGCTATGAAACCTTGACTTGAGGATCTTGGGCCAGTTAGGTCTTGTAAATGTATTGTTAATGAAGCGTGACAAGTGAAGATAAAAACAAGTATATAGCATTCAATTCGATTCAAACAAAATTATACGTCCCTGTTTTTTGTCCACACACTTAGCTATTCTACCCGTACATGCAATACAAAATTTGAATAATTACATTACGCTCACTTCTAGACTGACTGTGTCTGTTTTATCAATTTCATTCATGACTTCATTAGAGAGCTCATGGACTTTGTTTTACATATCGATTAATTAAACAATAATAATAATGATACCTTTCTATAGTTACAATTTTAACCTAATACTGAAACATAATTGTGACTCACAAATAAATGACGTCACCGACAGACAGTAAAATCTTAACCCAGTCCAAAGTTATCAGTATCACGAGAGAAGGGTATGAATATGTTCACGTGGGGAATTTCACATTCAGTATTTTGTGATAGGAGAAATATTAAACATCCGACCAGGTCGGGTGTGACGGCTCTATCACGTGACCTCGCAGCTGCCAGGGACTTAGCATATATACATTCTATTTGATATTCTCCAGGGTAGTAGTTACCCATATTTGAGATTGAATCATGTATGGTTAATCCAAAACACTAAACAAACATTGGTCAGTCAGAGGAAATTTTCATATTTAACTTTAGAAGCCAATAAAATTCGAAATTTATGTATAGGAAGGAAGAAGACGTTTTCCAAGTTTATCCTGTGACCACATGAAATATTAAAGATAAATCATCAGTGTTTTTAAAATTCTACAGCCGAAGGAATCGAAATTCATATCCAGGTTTGTTTTATATGCTCAAGTCGTAATACCCAAAATTAGATTGCAATGATGCATTTCTTAGAAATGAGAGGAAAGCTAGTTTCAAAAAAGAAATATGAATATTTGTTTTGACTGGTCAATCTTTGACGGTCATTGTGGATGAACCATACACAATTAAGATATTTACGGGCTTAAAAGATATCCGAAATATCGCTACTGTCCGTGCGCAATAAGAAAAAGTACAAAATGGTCATATTTTGAACGATTTGAATCGCACGCTTTGATTTGTATATCCTTGTGTACACATTATGGAGACCCCGATGTGGCAATCGGACATGGTGATCTTTAGGGCACATGACCATTGTATATATGTACCACCACAAGAGTAGATTTTGCGTCTACCCGTTAGAGACGAATGATGTTTTAGTAGACAAGGAAATGTTCTGCTGTAACGTGTGCGCGACAGGTGCCCTCGTTTCATCGACCAATGCTGTAAATACAAGTGGTTCAAGGGTTAATTATAGTCTGGATCTGTCACATTCCCTTTTTTCTTTTTCCTCTGTGTACTTTTTGAGAATACGCTGATGTCAGTCCTTGTGAAGTCGAAATATCATCTAGAAACCCAGCACACAGATACAAATGTAACTTATCAATTCAAATAAACTAGATCATAATTATATATATTCGAAGAATTATTACAGACAATGCACAAAGACACTCCTTGCACAACTCAACACAGTGCAGTTAATCGCTCAGCATAAACATTTACTTGATGATAATCATAAGATCCTCTTAACTATCACAAGCGTTCGACGGTTGTTAGCCACATTCCATACAATCACACAACCACAAACAACAGTTTGTTTAAAAACATCCCTTTATTTCCAGAATTTCCGTGAACTAGCTAGATTTTTAAATTTATTCACACCCTTCAGTATTGAGCTACTGTATGAAAAGGTCTTCCATTCTCCTGTCATAGTATCATAATGACGTAATCAATTTTCTGAGAAAATATTTAAAATCTCCCTAGTGGACGACCGCGTACTGGTGAAGAGAGTGATGAACTGGAGAAAATAGGGCGGATTCGCATTGATAACTTTTGAAATATTACTACGCAAAAGTGGTTAAGTGATTAATCCGGAGAGGTCCTCTCCTATACATATGCATGTCACTCTCGTTAGCCTAATTACGCATGACCTCTCATTAAGTCCGCTTGATAATTGAAAGAAAGCTTTGAAAAAATACTTAATTGTATTAGCATTTACTTCTGCAAGCCATACCAGCATAAACTAATACAATAGCTTTAAAAGTATGAACTGCAATTAAAAAAGATGTTGGTTGAGAGAAGTCTCGACGAGAACCATGAGATGTCAACAAGACATTACATACCTACTGATCAACGTATAGTTTTAACACTGCTAAACGCACATCAAATCTTAAGCAATCGCTCACAACTCATGTACATTTGTCCCACACATTTACTCAGAGGTGACTGGACCTGTGTGAACAAATTGTCTAACCTCAGTTCTATGGATTCGTTATACTACAGGTACATTTTGAAGGTAACGAGATATACCGGAACGTCCGTGAGCATTCGTTCTTCTTTTTAAAACAATATTTTTTTATCAAATGTTAAATTGATGTTTTGTTTATTTTTTTATCAAAATCGTATTCCATGCCCTTAAGACTTTCTCAAACGAACTGAAATAAAATTAATACAATTACTCTTCTTTGAATGTTCAACAAGAGTTGTAAATCTAACAATAACCGTATCAAGGGACCCAGTGATATACAGTGAAGACCCAAAATTGTCAAGAATTTATCATGGAACGTCCAGGATCTGAATTAAAATGTTGCAGCACTGGTAAAGTAACATATTGTTGCACAACAGTATAAAGTAAGATAACACTGCAATCACCCCGAACCCGTCTTTCCTTGCATCATACAAAAGAATGTTCAGACTGAAAAAGATAACATTATCGTAGACACTTATTTCAAATTTATAAGATTTGTATTAAGAAAATAGTTTTCATAGCATCCTGATACCTCTCTCCCTGTAACGCTGAATATCTTGGGATTGTCTCCCACTACATTAGGATGAGACCAAAACAATTTAAAACCCTGATCGTAAATACCACGTAAAGAGGTCAGTCTTGACAGTAAACTTGAATCTGGACCAGGACTGCCGTGGAATTCGACAAAGAGTTGTCTAACATTTCTCAACACTCCAGTTGCAAGCATATTCGGAATAGCCTCCCATTCTGCCCACTCTATATCCATCTTAAGAATATCGATAATTTTCTGGAAAAGATCAGAAGTAATTAATAGATAATGAAATGATAGATATCAACTTCGTCAATATTTATAAGTCTGTCAGAATGACACAAACAATCACGCGACCAGTCATAATACCAGAAGTCGTCAGGAGAAAACGACGTATAATGTATATTACTAAATCGATAAGTCCTGACGCCAGTAATCCCTATAAGACAGTATACTATATACACGAACTCGATAAGTCCTTACACCAGTAATCCCTGTAACACAGTATACTGTACACACGAACTCGATAAGTCCTTACACCAGTAATCCCTATAAGACAGTATAATGTACACACGAACTCGATAAGTCTTTACACCAGCAATCCCTATAAGACAGTATACTGTACACACGAAACTCGATAAGTCTTTACACCAGTAATCCCTATAAGACATTATAATGTACACACGAAACTCGATAAGTCCTTACACCAGTAATCCCTATAAGACATTATAATGTACACACGAAACTCGATAAGTCCTTACACCAGTAATCCCTATAAGACATTATAATGTACACACGAAACTCGATAAGTCTTTACACCAGTAATCCCTATAAGACATTATAATGTACAAACGAAACTCGATAAGTCTTTACACCAGTAATCCCTATAAGACAGTATACTGTACACTCGAAACTCGATAAGTCTTTACACCAGTAATCCCTATAAGACATTATAATGTACACACGAAACTCGATAAGTCCTTACACCAGTAATCCCTGTAAGACAGCATACTGTACACACGAAACTCGATAAGTCCTTACACCAGTAATCCCTATAAGACATTATAATGTACACACGAAACTCGATAAGTCTTTACACCAGTAATCCCTATAAGACATTATAATGTACACACGAAACTCGATAAGTCCTTACACCAGTAATCCCTATAAGACAGTATACTGTACACTCGAAACTCGATAAGTCTTTACACCAGTAATCCCTATAAGACATTATAATGTACACGAAACTCGATAAGTCCTTACACCAGTAATCCCTATAAGACAGTATACTGTACACTCGAAACTCGATAAGTCTTTACACCAGCAATCCCTATAAGACAGCATACTGTACACACGAAACTCGATAAGTCTTTACACCAGTAATCCCTATAAGACATTATAATGTACACACGAAACTCGATAAGTCTTTACACCAGTAATCCCTAGAAGACAGTATACTGTATGCACAAACATTGATAAATACACCAGCTATCACTATAAGACAGTATATTGTATGCACAAACATTGATAAATACACCAGCTATCACTATAAGACAGTATATTGTATGCACAAACATTGATAAATATACCAGCTATCCCTGTAACACAGTATACTGTATACTCAGACATTGATAAATACACCAGCTATCCCTATAAGACAGTATATTGTATACACAGACATTGATAAATACACCAATAATTTATCACTTGTCCTATTATCTATGATTTATGTAGCGCAACGAACATTTTCTCGGTAGTTAAAAATAACTGCAAAAACTCCTTCAGATATGTTACATAACACAGTCTGACACACATGACTTACCAAACACTTACCCTAATAGGACTACTTACCCCAGTATGCCCTAGCATATCTATAATCTCCTTGAGGTTCATCATGGTCCATGTTCCTTTCAATCCTCTCGGTTTTCCCCATAGTCCAATATTGTGAAATGTGATTTTTTTCGATCGCTGGTGATCCAACATTCCCATACTAAAATTGTAAATACAATAAAAAATACAATCTGTGATTTTAGTAATAACAATACTCATTATTTGATATACTTTATCTAAGTATAAATCTATGCAGAAACGTGTTGTTAACATATTTATCTTTTGTGCAATCTTCCACATATTCAACAACTTAAACATTCTATTTCATGTTGTACATAAACACGTGTGTCATGGCAGGTGATATTAAATGCAAAATGTTTATGTAATATAATAGTATGATAGCAGGGTTTTGAATTAATAATATCTCCATATTGATTAGCGTATACATTATATATAGGCTCTCTGGTACAGTTTGATATCACTTTATAACATGAAAATATTTGTTATGTATATGTAGATAAAATTTTAACGTACATTGTCTAAAATTAACATATACATAAATTTTGATTATATATATATTTAAATTAATACCATTTCATGTCCGTTTGATACAAAAACTGATATCTATATATCTAAATGCACACAGTATTATCACAATATGTCATTCCATATTGGTCGTTATTGTTGGATCAGCAGAAAAAAAATCCAGAATTGTGTATTTTAGCATATTCATATGATGGTATTGTTATTTTGCTTTTTATTAATATAATTATAAGCTTCTGTACTTACTTCTTTTTTATTGTCTTAATTATTGATAAAGACCAATAAAAAATCAATCATATGGTATCGGAGGGTTTATATGTAAACGGAACATATATATTTCTGTTATCTAGACGGATATTTCTTTTCAAATATTATTTGTTTGTAAATAAGCTGCAAAGAAGTCGTGAATGAAATACTGTTTGCATCAATTCATTTCATCTTGACCTCGAAACCGTCTCTCTTTGTTTTCAGGATGGCTTTGCACCACGTCACTGCTCATTAAGACTGAAGTAGGTCAGGAAAGACAGATGTTCGAAATGAAAGAAGAGAGGATCTAATCGAATTTATTCGTATTTAATAAATGCAACTTGCGTGATGAACAGTTATTTACCACAGACACAGTGAATCTTTGTAGCGCTTTGTAGTATCTTTGAACTACCTCTTACAACTATTCCTACAGCTGCTATCATGTTTGCCTTTCCATGATGTTCCTCTTTGTGTCATGAATTGTGTTGTGACGTATCTAATGAATCTGTTTTCATAAAATCTCGTTTAAGATTCCTTTTTTATGTAACGATGAATGAAGAATTTCTTAAAAACAACTGCTCTTCAAAGTTACTGTTCGGATATAGTATTCTGTTAAATTTTATATTAAGTTACAAATAATAGAATCAATAGCAATGGCATACATAGTATTTATGTCATGGACATCATACTCTTAATTGCCAAGATACTTATTTCGAAATCAAACGTGTTATTATGACTTTATCAGTGGTCATGCCTGTTTGGTTTGTTACTGTGATTATGTTTTTCGTTAATTTTCTAAGTTAAGTATTGATGAAAAGCTTATTTTATAGATAAAACCAAAGAGGACAAGCGAAATAGCAATTATTGAAAAACAATTATAATAAAAAAAAAAAAAAAAAAACAACAAAAACGGTAATTATTCCAAACTGGCGATTTGACAGTTGACAAATGATCTTTACCTTGGATCAAATGAATGAGTTTCACAGCCAAAAGTAGTGGAAATGTCGTCATCAAACGACCAATCGTTGTCAATTCCGAATGAGTAGACAAGACAAGGTGAAGAAAGTCTGTACTTAGTGTCGTTACACACGTCCCATCCTCCGTCACTCACTTTTCCTAGACGGACCAGTTCCTTACAGTGTACTTGTGATGATATCAACAGGCTATTTAAGTATGGAATAAACCGATGATTAAAGGAATGAGTACATCATAGTATAACTTTTTAGTTCATTCTAATTCCATCCTTATAAATATCATTTGATTATGTTGACATGTTGATATTTTATTTTTGTGTTTTTTAACGGAGATTGGGATTTATGGATCATTCTCTATCTTTTTATCCTGACCAGTAAAAGTAAGAGACAATGTCATTTTTCATAATTTTATCTGGTTGTAATATAATGACTGACGACGATCCCTAGATTGAGAATAACATATGTTGCAACGGTTATCGTTTTATCGACATTCTGACGTTACCGACAAAATCATTTGAATAGGAGAACTGTCAATAATTGGAGCATGTCACAAAAAAAAAATATTATTATCGTACTCTGTATTTCAGACGGTGACATATTTTAGTATGTCATAGTAGATTTCTCCAATGTTGATGTCAGTCACCTAATTGAATCGGAAAGGTGGCCGCCATGTTTGTACTTGTGTTAAAATTCATAAGGATATCGGGGATTAGATCATGAATATTATCCAATAAATATGCGTTACAGAACAAATATATTACAGTGTATTGTAAAAGGGTAGTATTGAAAGGTAATTATTTTTTCTTTGTATTAACACAATGAGCATAACTCGTTTGGTTGTATTTATACAATGAGCATATCTCGTTGGTTATCAATTCAAGCAACATTGAAACAATTCAGCTATGTTCCTTAATTGAACGAGAATTAGATATTACTACTGAAACTTTATATATATAATATACAACGTACGTTTGAAAACTGTATTAACACTTTATTCTGAACCTTGATAATTGTAGAAATCATTAACAGAACTGTATCCAAAATATGATTAACTTATAGAAAGGCAAAACAGTTGTCAGAAGGCTCCTAAGATATCCACTGAGATGGCAGTACGCATTTGCCATCAAACATAATGAGATTCTGACTTAATAGTTTCTAAAGTGGTTGAGAAATATCATTGGTAGACCTGGGTATAAACGACGCACGGTTTGTCATAAAAAATCAACATGTATGATATTGTAGACATTCTCAATTTCTTCACATGATTTTACTGTTTGGCTGAAGATCATAAAATAGTGGATAGACAAAGATCATTAAAACATGCCCTAGTAGAGAAAGAGATTGATAAACCAATGTTAACATTAATTATTTACAATAAAATATTACACGTAAACAACGATTAAAATCCCTGCTCTTTTTTCAAAACGCGATGACCTAGAGGATTATGTCATCTCGGTGATATCGTGAAAGCATTATTTATTTAAATCACAATTTGACAGATTTTAAACTTGTACCTAAACTTAAAATATCGTTTGGAAGATTTTTCTTTTGCTCATATTCTTACCTCGAATACATAAAGGCCAAGTCTGTGGACGTTTTATTTTCTATTAGATCTGGGCCATATACTTCGAGCGGACCTGTCATCGGCATTCGTCGTATCTGTAAGTAAATAAAAGAACATGTAAACTTGTAGTTTGTTGATATAAATATAAACACAAACAAGGCACATACCGGTCCTTTATTTAGCTTCCTCACTCCGTCACTATTCACTGAGTATGATGTAAAACAATATCAATATCATAAATTACGCCACACGAAGGTAGATTTGCAGAAAAATACCTACCATATAGATGGAATAACAACCGGTTTTTCCTTTGTCCTCTTTGAATATACAATTCAATTTCCTTTGAAAATGAAAGGTTCGGAAACCCTCTGTGTATAGATCACTTAGAATCATAAGATGTTCTACGTAAACAGATTGACTGATGTCTGTAGTGATGCCATGAAAGTTGACCAAAAGTTGGTTAACGTTCTTCAGTACATTGCGTTTCAACATCCAGGCTAGTAACCCTGTCTCTCCGCCACCAATGTCGATCGCCATAAAATCAATTTCATTCTGTAGATAGAAATATTAAGATATCAGTAAGTAGGCTATTTGATTATAGCAAATTCAAACAAGAGGATTTCTCCTATCATGATGCAATCCTGTTTTCGGATAATATTTCAAATGTGTGAAAACTGTTCAGCAGTCGACATGTCACTTTTGGTAAGATGCCAAAGTCTTATTATATACACATATGTACAACGTACATATTTGTTATAAAGCACTTGACCACACACGCTAAATCACTATCAGGGCACGAGAAAGGGTAACTTAATAGAGCAGTGTTGTAAAAGGGTATGGGAAAAATTGTCGCATATTTACACTTTTCAGAAGAACCCGAACGGGTATTCAGATATGCAACAATGTTTTAATTTGATATGGTACGAAGTAATTATGATGTGAGATTCATTTAAATCAAAAGAACACTTGTGAGTCGGAGAAATAAGTACGGATTTATACAGTAAACCCACGGACACTCATCAATACCTTCGCCCATCTAGTTGTCATCTAATCTATACTACAATGTCATATTCTCAAGCGTTGAGAATCCGATGTATTGTTTCTGACAAAGACGGCTTTAGACAACGTTGCTTAGAACTGAAGTCCAACCTACTCAATAGCAGATATAAAGAAGCTCTGATCGACTCCAGTTACTGGGACCGTTCACCCTGCACGCCATCATTGTCAACAATTTTCCATAAATATTGGCAAATCCTGCTGTCGTCCAGCAAACTTAAGAATATATTCCCGGAATCATAAATATTAGATCACAATGACAATATCCTGGACCAATTCATTATAATTGATTATATGTGCCGAGTGCCAGGTGTAGTATGTGGGTGACACCAAATCGTCCAGACATGCCTGTAACAAGACATTTTAACATGCCAAACCATACGTGGCATGACATGCAGGTGGTAAAACAACATCGTTTCAGTAACGAATGACAGTGAATAAAACATTTCCAACTCTGCTGCTCGCTCAGCATGAACGAGATATACTCCCATTGACAAAATAGCTATCAATGTATTTTGGCTTTAATACTTTTTCAAAATTAATCACTTATTCTCATTTAGTACTTAAGTCTCTGCTTTCGAACTGTTTAAAAATTGCATCGATTTGGAACTCTAACCGGAAGTAGGGGATTTGGAACTCTAACCGGAAGTAGGGAAGGGTAGTTGGGAGAATTTCTGTGGGCGAATTGTCTGATCTAGGGCTTATTCCATCATACTCAAATAACTGTTTTGATAATATTTTTTACGGTGTTTCTCCTTCTGAAAGCCCAAAGGTGTTTTATTCATTTGTTTATGAAATTCAATTGTTATCTGAAAAAAGAAACTTTTTCAGATGGACCGACACCCTGAAATTTGCGGAGAGCTATGGATATAGATCAGGTATTAAAATAATTGTTACATAAATTAATACCTACCTTTGATTTCATTGCTGTGATAGTTGAGGTGTTTACTGTCACACTACGGAATGGCTCAGCCGTTATAGTGCTATAAAAATCACATTTCAGATATGAAATATTGTCATGCAACGAAAATTACAGTACCTTGATAAGCAAACATGCTTGTATAATTATCATTAATAGTCACAAACTTTTAAATAATAAAACTTAATAGGAAAGGGAAGGAATAAAACATTATAAGTGAATTCTATTATATATGAAATACATAAGTGCTTATGAACGTGAAACGCAGCATACAGCTACCTCAGCCCACTTTAAGAACACAAACACTTACGTAATCTGTAAACATACAAATGCACGCAAAATCATTCGTTATGTTTACCAACCTTTTCATAATGAAGTTTTTCTCACAATGGTAGTCTTGCTTGAGTTCCTGGAAAAACTGTGTGGTAATGGTGTTTTCATTTTCATCACTGCAAGTACAGAGTTTGATTTAGGTAGTATACAGGGACTTTAGGAAAGACTGAGAATAAAACAGCAAATATGTGTAACACAATAACTCCATAACAGAATGGACGAAATGAGAGGTGGATATAAAGGAACATATTTCAAAAGGGAGTAATTTCATTACGGCAAAGAGAAAAAGATAAGATCTTCCATCTAAAAAGAACAAGTTTTTTCCATTCTTGGATGTCAATTTAAATAGTACAATTTATCTTATAACATTAACATCTTGAAATCATGACAATTTCTGTTACACTTACGCTATCATATAGGCCACACAGGGTTTAGATATATTTTTTCTAATCACATCACATGTGTACCATCCGTTCTTCACTCCACCATAAACATTCTTCACAGGACAAAACACTTGAAGCGTGTTTACGTAACTGTAATTGGAATGTAAAGCATTGGTTTCTGTGTCCTTAATGAAAGTTTAAATGTGAATTTGTATCATGTCATCAGTTACAACAGCAAAGGAATCGTTAAGGAAATAACAACACGCTAGTTGATAGTGAATCACCGTTCTGATACCAAATGGTAAATCACACCTGATTTCCATTACCTTTAACTACATACATATAAGTACACATATGGAATGGTTGTTAATGCATTTTATTGAAATGTATCCTGACTTACCGTCGGCGTCTAGTCTATATATATTTAGATAAACTCCATAGATTTGGTTTTAATTGAACGAACGTGTGCTAATGTAATGCAAAAAAGATGAACAGCTGAATAAAAGCTGTTCTAATTTAGTTGAAGTGGCGTTAAATGAAATGGGTTTGTCATTGTTTAATGTATTTAATGGTATTTTGATTGAAATGAAATATGTAAATCTAACACAAGGAAATGGATGACATATGTGTTTAATCTTAATTTAAATCTAATGTAGTGTTAATAAAAGATAAAAAGACGCAAAGTCAGGATCAAGGTACATTTCTGCTATCAAACATCTTAGAATGACTATGCAGTTTTATCTCTACATGCAATCAGAAAATATTTTCAAATTCACATTCACAAAGACTTTAAGATACACAGTGGCAAACATTTGAAACGAATAAAAAAGTAGACAAGATACGCCATAATGGTTTGTAACAAACAATAATAAGAACAACCCTAACATAAAATTACTATGATTATTTTTTAATATATTGTTAAAAGCTGTTCGCAACTAAAAATATATCCGGTTTACAAATGAAAATATTAAGAGTTTTCTTCTATCACTTGGGTTTGTAGGTAGTGCATATAGGAGGTGGACACTAGACTTGAAGACGTTTACCGAAATGTGTGCCACACCTTCATTCGTACAATGGAAGCGTGGTTAATAATTAAAAATAAACACATGTACTTGACGTTTCTTTGATGTCATTCTGTACTAAAAATTTCGAAATTTGTTAAGTTCTATGTTTAGTCCACCACCTTTTCTGGTTATCTGTTTTTGTCAATTGACTTTAATATACTTTTATAGGCCGAAACAGCTTTGGGATTTGTTTGTAAAGTTCTAAAGCGTTAGAACCTTTCGGGGCCACAATTTTAACTTATGATATGAAAAACGCTATTGTCAAAGTCTTATTATTATTTTTTGTATTTTTACAATGGGGTGAAAATTGCCGTTTTATTGTACCAATTCAAGTTTATGTATGTATATTAGGTTTTAGTAATAAAGTGTACCATTTGTATTGATTTATTGCAGTCTTGTTATGTCAAATAAAATAAATATAGAGAAATCGATTATTCTGTATCAAGAAGGAAAACATAATTTATATTTGTCAAGTTGCTCACCACACAGGCCCATGAAGTGTTTGGTGACGTGGCCACAATGCTTGTGAATACAATTATTCATGCAGCTGTCCTTTACTATTTTTAAGCAAACAGTAGTATATCTGTGTTGCTGTAGAATGGAAATCATTTGCATTGAAAGGTATTTACGAATTCTGTGTTTTTTTGTACAGGCACACAGTGAAAAAGATTATCCAAAAATTCGATAGATAAATTCCAAACACACAAAGAACATACAAAAGCTGCACTTTGTTGAAAATGCAATTAGTACAAAAAATGTAACTGTTATTCCGATTACAAACATTCGCAAGGACTACCCAACACAATATGTCAAAGACTGAATATTATTCAACTAAAACGCATCAGTAAAACGATGCTGTACTTAATGATAACCGTAAGTCAATGAATTACAAAAAATCTACCGAACAAAACATGTAAAAAAAAAAAAATTAAATAAATAAATAAAAAAACTACTTTTCCATCAGTCACATATATTATGCATAGAAGAATGTAACCAATTTCAATATAGAATATATACACGTATTTTACTTTTAAATATTTTTACATACCTGTAGAAACATATATGATATTATCTTAACGGGTCTGTCAGTAATTTAAAATTTGTATATGTAACGTAACAATTGGTTAAAGTGATGTCATCATAGCGAACACACAATAAAAAAAACGGAAAATTACAAAATTGCTTACCTGAAATATAGTTTGGATATTTCGCTGATGCTCATTTTCTGGAGGATACCTGTTCCAGGAATGGGGTTCTATTGACAAATATGGACATAATTACTTATGTGCTATTGACTCACACGTAATAAATACAACCAGAGTAGGTTACAACAGTTAACATTAAAATTGGTTCATTGTTATAAATCTATATGTATATACAACAACTGGTTTAGAATTATGGCAATAAGCTCACTGTGCTAATGGCCCCACGATGAATGGAAGATGAATTCTAGTCATACATCGGCCATTAACTTCAATGTTTAAACATAATAGACTTACTGTCAATTTTCCAATCAGTTGTGACACTTTTCAATACTTACACAGGATATAGTTTATATTTTGTCAAATTTATAGAATTGATAAATGTATCCTCCTTAATACAGGTTAATTTGACTATCTGCGGTGCAATACTTGATGCCTGGGCATGCATACAAACACCTACATTTCTATTTCTGATTATTTATTTATTCAGATCATCAACATATGTACTTTCGATTTTTTAAAAATATTGCTACTTACTGTCGTGTATGGCCAATGAAGGACCATTTCCCTATGAGGCAAGAGCTTAATAGCTTCCGGTACTGAGCCTCCTGCTTTGTGGAAATCAGATATTTGTCGGTTTCGGTAATATAAATATATTATGATTACGACGAAACTTGCAATGGCAATCTTCAATTTC